AGAATGGCGAATTATGGCATTGATGCTTCAAATATTCAAGATACAAGACGCAAGATTAAATTCTCACTGAACACATATATCTCTGCCTTCAGATCCCGTTTCTTGGTTGATCAGACCGGGTCCGGTCAATTCAAAAATCCCCCGGCATCCCAGCGAAGCATCAAGCGGGGACCAGTGTGTCTGAACACTATACTACTTGCCAGTTCAGAATTCGGGTACTCCATTATGATGGAATTCATCGAATTGGTTGGATCTCGGATGTGGAACGTAACTACTCCAGATTCTTCGCCCACGATTGGATTCCAGAATGTATAAAGTAGCATTGCACACGCATCTCTAGACGTTCAAGTACTTCGAAATCTCATTATCTTCAGACTCGGTTGAGCAATCTAAAAATATTGTCTATACTGTACATCATGTTCGAAGAATCTATCCAGGGCAAAAGACTTCGCCATCTTGCCCGGTTGAGTTGCTCTTTGGTGTGTCAGCCCACATATCCAATCGGACTCAATGAGAATTACTCCTAATCGAAATGCGCCAGGCCTTTCTTATCGAAGGTTACCAGGCTGGAATCCTCGGTGGAGTCCAAGATACCAAGCAATACCGTGATGCACTCGGAGTAAGCTGCATCCAACTACTATTGCTTATTCTCCGCTGACATTCTGTAAGAATCCAGAAGGGACGGAGATAATCCCAATGATAGCATCTTCCTACACACTCGCAGCCACTGTAATGTCTATTGTAGTGGTTGTTGTGGGAATGCCTCTGGGCCGCCGAAATTCAATCCTACTCGGCGCGGTGTTGATATTCTTCGGTGGTATCATTCAAGCCGCGTCATACTCGGTAGCTCAGATTATCGTTGCTCGGGTCATATGTGTAAGCCTGTGCTCCTTCATCGTCGTTCCCAAATTCAAAATTGACATATCGCTACCAACAGGGCTTCGGTATCGCGGTAAGAAAGTCACAGCCTATTGAGAGTATTCCATGTCTGATATCTCTTGCAGCTTATTACTTGCAATGTCCCTATGTATATGGTATGCCCAATTCTTCCTCTTATCCAAACTTAACCCTGATTTGATGAAATATCTAGTCGGAGATGAGTATACATGCCAATGAGCGTGGCCCAGAGGTAGCAATTAACTGCTCTTCGCTACTCGCAGGCGTTGCTTTATCTTACTGGGTGGACTTTGGATTCACTCGAATGTCAAATCAGCTATCCTGGGTAAGACTATCAAGTGGTTGGTATGATAAGATGTGAACTAATCATTAGATTGCCATAGCGATTGCCTATTGCCATCCAATCCATCTTCGCTTTTCTCTCCGCATCTGGCATGTTCTTCTGTCCTGACACACCAAGATGGTATTATGCAAAAGGGCGAAATGCTGAAGGCGATATCACCCTGGCAAGACTATACAATGTCTATCGCACTGACCCTAGCATTCAACCCGAGAGTGCTGCAATGGAGCTTGTCAAAGCTGAAATCATGCAGAGCATTCAGGTTGAAGCCGAGCAAGAGAACCGACTCAGCTGGCTAAGCCTTGTTTGGGACAACACTCCGCTCCGCGTTGGCCGTCGGATACGAATTTCGTTCATCATCCTGTCTATTCAGCAAATGATGGGAATCAATATCATGGTTTATTACATGCCCCTTATATTTTCGAAGGTCGGCCTATCAAGTTTCGTGTCATCGCTCATTTCCGCTGCAGCATTGACAGTCCAATTTACCGGCTCACTGTTTACTATTCCTACAATTGAGAGGATTGGCCGGCGTCGAATCATGCTGGTTTCCGCCGCTATTCAGACCTGCTGTATGTTTGCTTTTGTGGTTCTAAATGGTCTTCCTAGTAAGACGGCGAAGACTCAATGGGCAGCCGCTGCTATGATGTTCCCATATCTCTTCATGTACGGCTGGGGATGGGTTACTTGTCCGTGGTGAGTGTTGCAATCTGTCAAACTCGCACTGAACAAAGCTCACACTAATTCTAGGCTATATGGACCCGAGGTATGATTCTTTGCCGTGGTCGGCACGCTTAAACTGACTTGAATATCTTTAGATTGCTCCACTTAAGTATCGCCACATCGGAGCTGCAGTTGGTCTGTTTGGCGAGTGGCTATTCAGTTTTGTGACCGTCATCGCGGGCGGAATTGGACTCGAGACATCAGGCTGGAAGATATGGATCTGGCCACTTGTTTTCAACGTTCTGGGTTTTGTCTTCGTTTATTTCATGTGTCCTGATGTGAGCGATGTACTTTCATGTCCCAAGAGAGTGATTTGGCTAACTCAATCTCACATAGCCGACCGGAAGAACATTGGAGGAAATCGACGCTTTATTTATCAAGGATATCCACTTGGCAGACAGACTATCTGACGAGAAGTTATCGATGCACCAAATCGAGCACACCGCTTGAGTCATTGTATAACACACCCAGAAGCGTGGAAAGCCCCGGATTGCATGCATTCGACTCTTGGGCAATATCATTAGACTATATAGAAGGGTAGTTTTACAAATTGACCCGTCGCTTTGTACCATACCACAGATAGGCTGAAGAACGATAGCTGCGAGGATATGGATGTTATTGCCCCACAGCTCCATACCAGCATAACCCTAGGACAGCACCCATTACAATCGCTATAGGTGGGGGCACACTGAACCATGCACTCCCTGCATATGTTACCACCGCAACAACGACCCACCATGGTTCCTTGCCCAGACTCTGTCCGTCGCTTCTTTCAAAGGTCAGGTATCCAATCTCCCACAACCGGTATACAGCTGTAAATACTAGCCCAACTGCAGTAGCATTCATGCCTCTTAGAAAGTCAATCACATACTTCTTCTTCCGCAAGACGCGCCAGAAGCTTTGGATTGCAACAGCCAGCGTGATTCCCGGAAAGAAGATTCCCAAACCGCCGAGAAATGCACCGAGGATGGTTGGGAAGCGCGAGTGCTGTAGTGCTAGCGCCCCCAAGAAGACAGCGAAGTTGAAGTTGGGACCGGGGAATGCTTGGATAATGGCAAGGCCGATCAGGAAGTCTCGACTAGAGACCCACCCGGGATCGACAACATAGGACCTTAAAAGGGGAATGACAACAGGACCTCCACCAAATATGACAGTGCCAGCAAGGTACATGTTGGCAAAGAGGTCGAGGACTAGTGGGGGTGCAGCAAGCTGGCTTCTGGCAACAAGAATCCCGATGAAGGAACCTAACTATATCAGTGTGACTCTCGGAAATTATCTTAGGGAGGTGCATACCAAAGAAGAGAACCATAATCAAAACTCCCACCCGAATCCGAACAATGTGCTGTTGCGAATGATCTTCAGCGGACTGCGTTGGCGTTGAAGTATTGGCTGTATGCTGTGGTAGTCCTTCGGTTCTAGGATCCATCCGCCTTGGTCGCATCGTCTCACTCATTTGCACTGCATTCTCTTCCAGGGTTATATAGTCCATGCCTGTAGTATCCCCATTCGTCACATTCGGCTCCTGTGCAACACTGTGTCTGTTCTTCCAAGCGATCCTTGCCCTCAAAATTCGTTGATATAACCATCCATCCCAGATGCTCGTGACTAACCCACCGGCAATCATCATCACGGGGAAATACCAGAGTGCATTGTAACAAAGACCAGCACATGCACCAAAAATCACAAGAATCCTGGACAGTTTATCGCGAATAGCTTTTTCGGACAATTGTACGGCCGCAAGTGCAACAATACCTACCGTGGAGGCATTCAGACCGGAAAGTAGGGCGTAGACTGGCTTGGGAAGCGTTTCATTCATGTTTTGTACACCAAGTGAGAGGGCATACATGCCAATTGCGCCAGGAAGACTGACACCGTTAGTTGGATATAACCAGATAGTAGCATAAAGATATAGATCACCTCCAAAGAAAGAACGCAAGCATTGCAGGAATAAATCCTGCATGGAATAGGGTTAGGCAGAATATCAACTTCGTGCTAGCGGGACCTGGAAGACCCTGGCAAATGGCAAAGAGCTCCTGATACTGTGAGATTTGTTAGCAACCCCTATGACATCGAGACCCGCCAGCTTGAAGATGTGTAAGGAGAATCGTACAGTCTGCTCATCTACCCATTTCTCCTTACCGCCCTGTCCCTCCACGAACCTGGCATGTAGAATCTGGAAGTGTACTGGTGGTCCTCCAAAGGCTGTAAAGCCTAGATCCCATGTACGTAGAAAGACATCTAGCAAACGACTTGACATAGGTTTTTTCATTTCCTCACTCTGCCTTGAACCCCTATGGCTACCCCATTTGTGATTCAGCTGGGCGAGGGAAGAGAGGCATTGCGAAAGCGGGGAGAGAAGTGACATGCTGCGCTTGGTCGTTCGAGATGTTTAACAGTGTGGATCATGCGACCAATGACATATGGCAAGATGAGGATAATATCGCTCCAAATGTGAGCAGCGTGCTGCTATTACCCTTTTGTTCGCCGTGCCTTCTACCTACCAGGTAGGTTTGGGACCTCCAGAATACCACCTGGGCATGCCAAGATGTTTAGTAAGCTCCGTCAGGCACTAAAGTCAAAATAGCCAATCAACATACGGCAATTAAGCACGGGTTTTACAACAATCCCCTGTCGAGATGAACAGTTTTGGAGGACAAGGAAAGCCATAGCACTCGAATGTCACTGAGCGGCTGTGATTGGCCTCGGTAATTTCGGGCCCCCGTTGTGGTTTAGTGTCGAAATATGATGGTTAAATACATGAATTTAACCCGTAATTTACCCAAAAGGTCACATGACCTTGGAAAGGTATATAATTGTCAGCTTGTCTTCCACCCAGTCCGTTACATGGATACTAGAATTTCCATACATTGTCAAAACGCTGGTTTTCAGTCGTACATATAAGGAGTGTGTTCCTCCCTGAAGTAGTATTACTCCGGTAGAATCATAGCATTTGTTCTACATGTTTTCCCCGGAATGACCATTTACGTAGCAACATCTCTCAAAATCTGTTGGGTATAGCTTGATATATATAATTGCACTATCAGAGTCGAGAGTTCACCTTCGAAATTTGAACACTACTTGGACGATCCTCAAGTCGCAGAACACCCTTATAAACAAAATGATACGTTAAATTTGAATTGCGAGAATGGATGGGTTGACTTACCTCTTGAGTACAGCTCGCAAGTAGCGTACCATCACGGGCCCATATTTTTTGCAACACCACGCCACGGCCATTGTCAGCCCAATTGGTCTTTACTTCAGTCAATAGCCATTCGTCGGCTTTTAATCGCTTAGCCTGGTGGAAGTAAATGGTATGATCTAGGCTGACCATCATTCCAACCCTATGGGACTGGTCCGGCACACTCCCGCCCCCTTGTAGATGCGGCCTGAGTATCTTGGTGTGAATCGGGGATGGCATTTCAAGCTGTTCCTCAGATTCATAGGACTCGGTAATAGGAGGATTGACAAATTCCCATATATTATGAGCATGCGGTAGGCCAGCGAGGAAGTAACTATCTGACATGAAGGCCAATGCTGCTAGATGCGCTCGGGAGCCACCTTGGGGTGAAATCTTCCCACGCGTTTTGATCCATTGATGCAGACGTTTATCACATGGATCAGCAGAACTGGAATGCAGCATGCCAACACTCTGGTTTATGTATGGAAGTCCCGTTGTTTCTTCGTTGCTATTGGACTCGAGACCAGTATCATGCGGTATTGGAACTGCCGGAGGATTGCGCTCTGCGTGGCGGATATTTGTAATTGACTCAGGTGGTGGACGAGCAAAGCTGATTGTTGCGAGGAATATTGTACGATTGTCTTGGATTGCCCTGACAGCTCGCGTGCAGAATGTCCGCCCATCTCGCACTATCTCAACATGATAATGGATAGTTGCAAACGCAGTGCCTGCAAAGACAAATGTGCAATGCATTGAGTGAGCATCAAACTCTCCTTTAACGGTTTTTTGGGCTGCGCTGAGACTTTGCGCAATGGTGATACCGCCAAAGATCCCTCGTGTACCTTTCGGGTGCCAAAGAGGATATTTGTTGGCGAACACGAATTGGCCGACATCTATCGCTGGCGTGACTTCAATTTGTCTCTCGATGGATGATTTGGTTGCAAGTGGGGTGGAGTTCATGTCTTCGTTGGCCATGTTGAATCCGGAGGAGTAAACAGAAATGGCAAGCTTGGAGAGCGAATATTAGAGCTTCAGGACAGTGACAAAAAAAGGCAAAGACGCATCTATCCACAGTCGAGATTTGAGGTCCACGCAATGAGCAAAGAAGATCTATCTGTTGTAGCAATGTTCGAGGTAATTTCAACCGGTGCATAAAATTACGGCCGGTGCGGGATAATGAACGCCCTCGGAATTAGGGATCGGAATTTCAGATTAGAACAACGCGCCCCTCCAAGGAAAATTAAGAGAAGATGATAAATATATCAGTTCGTTGAAGTAGTCCACTCTGGTATTGCACGTATCTAACCTAGGAAGAATATCATCATGGCTGTAATCACTTCAGACACCACTGTGCATCTGCGCACAGACCGATCGATCACGCAGTTGATGATGGAAAATGCATCAAACACAGATCCGACAAAAGTGATTTGCGAAGATACCTTGACCGGCAAAACCTTCACCTACGGCGGACTGCGGAGCGACGCGTTCAAGGCAGCTCATTCTTTGCGACATGCATACGGCATCGCCCCTGGAGACGTCGTTACGATTATATCCCGAAGCACCGTTCGTTAATCTTTATTATACACAATTTTTTACTGACTGACTCCTGACAGGTTGACTATATTCTGGCGGCGCATGCCGTTTGGGCAGCGGGGGCAGTTGTGAGGTTAGTCGTGACAGCTGGGGACTTCGAGACAAAATGCTCACCATTCTCCTCAAATAGCACGATCAACCATTCGTCCACGCCCAAAGAGCTAGTACACGCGTTGAAAATCTTGAAGCCCAAAGTCATTATCGCAGATGTTGTTGTACTCGCAAAGCTACATGGGGCTCTCACAACCCTTGACTTGAATACCTCTGTCACTATCCTTACATTGATACAGCGAGAAGGCAGCTATCCATTGGTCAGTCATTTCTCAGAAGGCAACGAGACACGCGAAACTGACACCATGTAATCAGTTTCCGGAAGATCTCGTCAAATCCCATCGCATCGAATCGGAGGCATATGTGCTCGACGGTAAGGATGCACGTAACTCCTGCGCTGCCATCGTTCTTTCCAGTGGAACCACAGGTCTACAAAAAGCCGTGATGCTTTCCCATCACAATCTAGTGGCTATTTGCGAGCAACTACGGGCCCATAACCCAGATAACTGGCGAGGTAGCATGCGAGAGGTGTTCTTTCCGGTGAGCCATGTCCTTCCGTTCTTGAAAGATATTATAATCTCTTCGGCTAACACCCCTTCTCTAAAATCTAGCCCCGTGAGTTATTATTGCCACCCCACAACATATTGGCTAGACGTATCTGACTGTGGCAGTATCGCATATATACGGGCTTTATGTCTGCGCACTCCTGGGTCCATGGCTAGGATACTACGTGTGTTTGTTACCGGCTTTCGACCTTGAGACATTTTGTCGGGTATGTTCGCCTTTTCCCGGCATCATATTTGGATAGAAACATTCTGACCATGAACAGCTTTTGCAAGATAAGCGAGCTACGTTGGCTAGATTGGTGCCTCCCGTGGCACTAGCACTTGCCGAATCTCCAATTACCGACAGATATAGATACGACGACCTGGAGTATTTCTCATGCTCTGCAGCACCACTAAAGGTGAGATCTAGAATCCCCCCCTTACCTTTGTAGTCAAGAGCATAATTGACAAGCCTAGCCGTTGGTTGCGACAAAACTTCGAACCAAGTTTCCTGGGGTCAGTCTCTGCCAAAGTGAGTGGATTCTCCAATACAATACTAACCTGCAGGTAAACCTATTTGGCTAATAACTGATTCTAGCCTATGGCTGTACCGAACTCTCGTCTTGTGTCTCCCAGAGTGGTGTCAGAGATACAAAAGCCCCACTTGTGGCTACCGGAACTCTTCTTGCAAACATGAAAGTTCGATTTATTGACGAAAATGGCAAAGAAGTCTCTCCTCCGAATGCAGGGGAGATCTGCGTGTCATCTCCCACAATCATGATGTAGGCAACTAGCCTCAACACAGTCAAATTAGTGGCTTGTAGCATACTGATTATTTGATAGGGGTTACAAAGACGACCCAAAAGCCACTGAAGAGGCTATGTTAGAACCAGGTTGGTATCGAACCGGGGATATAGGTTATCTGGACTCAGAGGGATTTCTGATTATCGTTGATCGAATCAAAGATGTGATCAAATACAAAGGGTGAGCGATTCACTCTATCGTACGGCACGAGCTTTCTAGACTAACCGCTCATTTATCTACAGGTTCCAAGTGAGCCCAACAGAATTGGAGGAGATCATTGGACAGCATCCGAATGTTGCAGATGCTGCTGTAACATCTGTCTGGGATGACACAGAAGCAACCGAGATTCCTCAAGCATTTGTGGTTCCAAAGGTGAAAGTATTTTCATCGGATCGTGAGAAGGTATCACAGGAAATTCAGAAGCTGGTTGCTTCTAAGGTTTCTGGCTATAAAAAGCTCCGCGGTGGTGTTATATTTGTTGACCAGTTGCCACGGAACCCGACGGGCAAGTTGCTACGGAGAGAGTTGCGCAGTCTAGCAAGGCTCAAGGCGCATATCTAGGGTTATTTAGTTAGACAAGGGCTATGAGGATCTTTCCTTTTACGTCCTGTTCTGTTATACCTAGGTTTCCAATTTCATCTCGAACGATCACATATTAAGCTCAACTCCGTTCCCTTCAACTTCCTGATCGTATAATTACACGTAAATTGGAATCAAAGTCTGGCCGATTCCTATTCCTGAATTTTACTATTGGCCAATTACAAAAGTGCCACTTATAAGGATTGGGATGGACTCGCATATACTAAATATCGACAGTTGAATCTTGGATAATTAGCTATCATATCCAACCTGTCACGAAGACACCAACTATGACTTCGGCAAACACCAGCAGTTACCTGAACTTCGCAGACAGGGACTCGGAATTCATTATGTGGTGATGGGTTCCTCATACCGGTCAATTTATTTAGTGCACCGGATAGAGCGATTTCATCAATGGCAGCTATATTATTGCGGGGGTAGAAGATCCATAGATATCGAACGCTACTATCCAACCTTCCTCGCTATCTGCATTAATTACTTTCTTCCTTGCCCTCCACAATCCAAGTACACCTCCACAATCACCATGCGAGCCCTCAACAACATTCGGGTGCTTGAGCTAGCTGGACTCGCCCCGGGTCCGTTCACGGGTCTACTCCTTGCCGACAATGGGGCAGACGTGCTGCGAGTTGACCGCGTCCAGCCAGGTCACTCTCCTAGCCCTGATGTCTTGATCAGGGGGAAGTCCTCTATTTGTGTTGACCTCAAAGATTCCTCCGGAAAGGATCTTCTCTTACGCCTCATCCCACACGCCGACGTTTTGATCGATCCTTTTCGCCCAGGTGTTTTGGAACGCTTGGGGCTCGGCCCAGATGTCCTGCTGAAACTCAATCCTCGGTTAATCGTAGCAAGATTGACAGGGTTTCGCCGCGACGGGAAATATGCTGCCATGGCGGGCCATGATCTCAACTACCTCGCAGTCTCAGGAGTTCTGTCGATGCTCGGCCCTTCGATTCGAGTTCCCCCTTTGGGGCATCCGCTTCCACCCAGTCCACCAGGAAACATCTTGGCCGATTTCGCGGGCGGTGGATTGACTTGTTTCGTGGGGATTATTCTGGCATTGTTTGCTCGAGTCAGCACAGGAAAAGGACAGGTGGTTGAAGCAAACATGGTAGATGGAGTTTCTTATCTCGCCACAGCACCACGCATTTCAAGCAAGATTCCTGGACAATGGGACCAGCCCCGAGGTCAAAATTTGGTCGATGGCGGCTGTCCTTACTATCGGGTGTATGAATGCAAGGACAGCGGCCGTTACATGGCCGTCGCATCCTTAGAGCCCAAGTTTTTCGATGCGCTGAGTCGAGGAATTGGCCTAGGGCAGAAGGATTGGGGAGGAAATCGCGAAGACAGATCGCTGTGGCCTGCAATGCACACCCTTTTCGAAGAGACATTCCGCACCAAGACGCGCAAAGAATGGGAGGCCATATTTGATGGAACTGACGCCTGTTGTACGCCAGTTTTGGAGCACCATGAAATGGAGGCTAGTCATTATGATCAACGTCCGGTCGTCACACTTAGCGAGACACCGTCGGTGATACCCGGAACTGATGGCTGGGCAGTGAGAACATTGCCGAACGGGCAAGGTGGCGAGACTGTGCTGCAAGATTGGACTGGTTGGAAGAAGGGAAAGGATTTTGTTATTGTTAATGGAGGGATCTGTAATAAGGAGGCTGCAAAGATGTAAGATACAAAGATACAAACTGCTGATGAATGCATTTTTCACTCCGTTCAAACATACAGTCAGAAAAAAATGAAAGGAAAACACCGTTACTACTTCACACCCAACTAGCATCTAACCACGGCAAGGAATTCGATCCAGCTACCCAAAACCTTTATCCAACCGTTCACTTCCATCACATCCATCACATCTTCAACCACATCACTACATCAACCAACCAACAAACAAACCTGACCATGGCACTGACAGCCAATAAGCCAAAGGTCCTGGTCCCAGGCCCGGCCAAGCGCAGGCTCAAGCTGAAGGTCAAGCTCGAGGCCAAGGGCCCGGCCAAGGTCGAGACCGAAGCCTCCTAGGAGACTAAGGTAGTGGTTCCAAAGACTAGTGACGAGGAGTCTCTCATGACTCTTCTCGAAAACACGAAGGTCAGTCATCTCTCACTTGATACCAACGCCTGGACTATAGATCATACTAAAGTTCACTACAAGTCGATTATGAGACTGCGGCTAGCACCCTCCGCACGAATCAATAAGGCGGGCTGCCGTATGCTATTCTCGCTTACAGCAGAAGTATGGGTTTGAGAAGGTGGACGTCAAGCGTACCGCACGTGGCAAGAAGGGGGATGCAAATGCCACCAAAAGGGCCACTCCTACCAGCGAGTTGCCTGATGTATCTAACAACATTCAAGTCGCTATATTGGACACAAC